GGGACACACAGAGATACTGTTAACAATAATCTGATTTGTATTTAGAAGGGCTTTGTAAAAACAAAATAGAGACAGCATAGCAATATAGAAAGGCAAAGGTAGCTGTGGCCCAGAAGAGAAACTGTCCTCTAAGCAGCCACTGAAGATACTTGGCAAGAGTTGCCAGGAGCATCAACAATATAGTATGGAATCTTAACCAATCTGACATATGGGTCTGGATTTAGACACATCCAGAGAAAATGTTTTAACATCTCTATTTTTCTCTTTACCCACACCAGTCAGTGTTGCTGGATCAGCAGCACCTTTGTCAGAAAGGATGGGGATACTTCCCCAGCAGCAGACACTGGCTCTTGTTCATCGGATAAATATTGCTCTACTGAACCAGTGACAATTTCTTTTAGCATTTTAACCTGATCCAGTTGTCCTATGGAAAGACATCTCTCACCTTCTGCATCTCCCTGTGAGCAATCCATGCTCCTTACTCATTCCAACAACATGGTCAACTCTTTCTGAACAAACTTGTAGGGATAGATTTAGACCCATGCACATGCAATGTATAGAACTGGAAAAAAAAGAAATCCTTATTTTATTTCAAAACCATCGAGGAGGAGGAGAGATTCTACATGTTGGATAAACAGAATGGACACTAAGGAGATTTCCTTTTTTTTTTCCCCAATATGGTTGTTAAATGCTTAAAATAGAGTTTCTGCAGTTAGAGAACAAGTTTCTTTTTAAAAATCACAATCTGTATCATTCATTACTAAATAAAGGTAAAATTACTTGTAAAGAACATGCATGTGTTGCTGCCAGAATTCCTGGTGTCCCACAGTTGGCCTCATCTTGCTTTCAGCAGTTTGCACTTTTGAAATGGGATGGAGGCTAAACCAGTTAGACTCTTGATGTCTTACCAAGAGTATCAGAGAGTGAACATTTTGACTCTGCAGGTCAGCAGCTTATTTATAAGCACCAAATGTCACGTGGTGGCAACATTTGGGACTGACTTCAGATGGCCTGTAGGTAGATGCCTGTACATTCAAGTGAAACACTCAATGACTTTTTACAGCAAAACTGTTCGGATATAACTATTTTCTGTAATGCAGTTGTATATTTGTAATTTTTGACTAGAAACTATTGGGTCACCTTTCCAAATACAGAAGTCTCCATTGTACTGCTATTGCCTCTAAAACACCAGTATGTTTTTCCCTTCCCTCAACCACAATTTGGAACAAAAGAAGTAATTTCCCAGTTTGATGGAGCAGTAACAGTTGAGACAATCATTTTACGCAGCTAAATTTATTCTCAGAACAGAGTACATTTAAATGTGGAGAAGTGGTCAACAGCAGGGAAAATTGTCCTTTTTGGTGTCAGTCAGGTGCTTTATGTAAAACAGCTCTGCTAATAACCAGTGGGTATGTTTCCTTCTTCCTTACTGCTGTTAAATCCAACCTGCTGCAGCTGATTGTACCACACAAGTTGTAGCAATGGGGTAATTAACCTGCCCTAGGAGGAAGTAATGCAGTTGATGGCAATGCCCGAAGGCTGAGTCCATACTGGCTGTTGAAATAATTAAGTTCTCTTTTCCATGGGTAATAATAATAATAACACTTTTAGATCATCAGTTCTGGGTAAATGATCTATGAAATGCTTGATAAAATTAAAAGAGATGTAGAACTCTTAGTGACAGAGAACATGTGTAAGCCATTAGATACTCCATAGTTTTTGTTCCTCTGTCACCAAAGGGCATATTGTTTCCATAGGCACAGGTGACTGCACAGGAGGTACATCACTAAAACCTCATTTTACTGTGAATGGATTCTATGCCCTTCCATGCAAGTTTTGTTATTCCCATTTAACCATGCTGTAAAGTGGCCTCTGTAGCCTTATATCTCCCACACCCCCTTGCTCCCCTTTAGGAAATGGTAAGTGGCTTAAATAAAACCTACAGCCAGCACTGCAGATTTCAAAAGAAAGGCTTTTATCTCTTAGTCATTGACTGTGAATATAAATTTCCTTGCTTCTGCAAGGGAGTGTTAATGACATGGCTGACTGACACATGATACTTACCTCTAAGTACTACTTGCATTGAAAATAAAAAAAAAAAAAAAAAAAAAAAAAAAGAAGAAGAAATTAGCTTTGCTTTACATGATTTTTCTACAGTCTTCAATAAAAATGTGACTACAAATAATTACAAAGCCTGCCCTTTTTTCAGGCAACCTATATAGTATACAGAGTGGAGAATGTTACAAGAGCACGTCCAGTAAAGACAATACATCAACATAATAATGCAGGATATTTCAGTAAAAATAGAATAAATAAAATAAAAATATTTTAAGCTGTATTTAACAGGTTAAGTTAGAATATGGCATTGGACATACAAGGCATAGTGAACATGGCTGCTAGCCTACAGAATCACTAGGAATTATAAAAAATGCATAGATAACTGAAGGGTTGCTATAACATCAACTACAACAGTGGCAGTGGCTCAAACACACACACACATCCCCAAACACACTTCCTTTTTGGCCATGGTAAAAAAGAGTGTCTGAATATATTGTTTAGCAAAGGATAACGGGCTCTGCAATATTAGGCTCTGATTCTGCAAACACCTGGGTGCATATTAAATCTTTTGGGGAATAAGGAGCTCCAACTGAAGCAAAAAGGCCACATACAGTCAGACCATTAAGCACACTACTTAAAATATTTGCAAAATGAACAACATCATGTTAACAGACATGAACCCCTTAAAACATACATTGCAAGTGACGTGTGGCTTTTCAAATACCTTTCTATCTCCTCCTCAGCCCTTCCTGCAATTGCACACAGTGCTAGTGAGAGCTAACCAGATGCTCACAGCCTCCACAACACCCATGTGGGATCTTCACACTGCCCTTTGCTGTGTTGGTTTGGTCAAAGAGAGTCTGCATCTCTGTTGGGGAGAATCAGCACTGTGCAGATGCAATGATAAAATGTACTAAAACTGTTAAAAATTAAGTCACTGTTGTATAACAGCTGCAAATCCCAAATCACGGTGTTTGCAGCTGGAACTTTAAAAAGACACTCTCAAAGTATTCAAATTTAAAATAAAATAAAATTTGAATCACAAGCACAATGACGAACATGGAAACTTTCTTCTCTTAACTTCACAACCCTCCCCTAAAGGTACAGTGTTAGCCACCACACTGAGAGCTGTCACCCCTGGAAGTGCTCCAGGCCAGGTTTTTGGTGTCAGTCAGGTGCTTTATGTAAAACAGCTCTGCTAATAACCAGTGTGTTATTAGCAGAGCTGTTTTGCTCTGTTTTCAACAGAGCAAACTGGTTGTACAGTACAGTACAGTAATTCAATGGTAGCTAATACTTGGTACCTATTCCAGTGTTGAAAACAGAGCAAAACTGGTTATTAGGCCAGGTTGGATGGGGCTCAGCACTTGGTCCAGTGGGAGGTGTCCCTGCCCATGGCAGGGGGGTTGGAACGAGATGATCTTTAAGGTCTCTTCCAACCCAAACACTTCTGTGAGTCTCAGATAGGAACTGAGTTTTTACACGTGGCAAAACCTGAGCCTTGAGAGGGGAACAATTGCTTCAGTGCCTGAGGTGGGGAATCGCAGTCATGAAGAGGTCTGAGATCAGTGGAGGATCAGCTCTTCAGAGGGAATTCTACAGAGCTAAATTGAATTACAACAGTTGCATAGCTAGCCTTCACCTGACACTTGCCCATACATCACACTGAGTTGAATGATTTTTCTGCATTTTTCAATGCAGAAATTTCTTGAATCATCGTTCTTTTCCAGTTGTATTCCTAAGTTACTTCGCCCAGGTGTTACCATTAGTTTCTTTAAACAAGGAAATAAAGAAAACGGTTTGTTTATAACAGTCTCTTGCATAGTAAAATAAAGAGTTATTGTAACAACAGCCTTGCCAATGTTCCTTGATCACTGCAGTATGACCAGATTTGCAGACTTGGGAGAGAGTTACAGTCTGGAACTTATCTATAAATGGAGGCTAAACATTTTTAACATATCATTGATGTTTCATTTCCACAGTTTGTACCAATCTGCAGGTCTAGAGAGAAGATGGCAAAGGGAGAGCCTGAAAATGCATTTCTGCATTTCAAAATGAGCCTGAGGTACAATTCTGAGGGGCAATACTGGGCTGATTTGTGAGGGGCTGTAGGTGTGTGAATCAAAGCAAATAGATGAAGCCCTTGGAGCAAAAGGATTAAAATCAAGTTGTACCACCTCAAGCACTATCCTGTTAGAAAACAACCCTCTTCTTATTATGTTACAAGAGCATTAAAAGTAAAACATTTAATGGAATTTTGGAATTAACAAGAAACATAGTTGTTCTTTTTCTGGCATGCTAAGTACTCAGCAACAGACTCTGAGGGGAAGGGAGAATTGTGCAACCAGACACTGAATTGAACATTTCATCAAACACTTGTATGGAAAAGGTATGGAATAGTTAACTCTCTATAACAGTTTTAAGACAATAAAATTACTAAACTACTTCTTTCTTAGTCCTGATTGGTTTGAGCCCTGCATGAGACAAGTGGTATTTTTGATGAATTAATGACAGATTTAGGAGAATAAATTTAACAGCCAACAGTTGCATTTGTATGTTTAAAGCTGAAAAGCTTCAGTGGATCACCTGCAACTCATTACTGAAAACACTTCTGGATCTTTCATCATTGGTTTGCTTTTAAACATGACTCTTCTCTAAGACCATAGATGTGTAACCAGAAGATGAAATAATGACACCATGATTCAAAAGCATGTCAGGGAGATGTTAAAGTGGTTGCTAGACCAATGCTGACAAACAATCTAAAACTAACAGGTGTAGTTCTGTAAAAAACCAAACTTGGTATTTAATCTACAGTAATTCAATGGTAGCTAATACTTGGTACCTATTCCAGTGTTGAAAACAGAGCAAAGTGCCGTAGGATTTAAGATTGGTTTGTGACAAATCCAGCTCAAGAAGGTGAAACTTTAACTCAGGCATCATTCACTCCAAGGACTTTAGCATGAGTTCACTGGGAGGGACGTGGCCATATTCTTTTTTTTTTTGTGTGTGTGTGAGTTTAGGTAATGTTCATGTATTTACAATCAAACAGACCTTCCATTGCCCATGATGTAACTCACTGACAGCAAAAAAATTATTCATGCTTCTTTTCATATCACACGATGGTGGCAAGAATGAGAGAACATGCTTGTCTAACATTGTTTCCATAAGGGTAAATTCTCTGAAGACAAAGCATCAGCAGTTGAAATGGAAGGCCAGACATCATCAGTTCGTTTTCCTTAGCGCAGCTACTGTTATCTTCAGTTAAGTGTTAGGAGAATCTTCTCTCTTATGCAGCTATGGCATCTCAGTGACTGGACGTTTCTGTTTCAAAGTGTCAATGAGAGACAACACTCCTCTTTTTACGTTAGTTGTAACTCTTCTAGTCACCGAGTCTGCAGGAGGTGGGGGCGGTCGGACCTTCTGCGAAGGAGGTCTGGCTACTAAGCACTTCTGATACCGTAACTGCAACAAAGCAGAAGCATTCTGCAATCATTACTGTGTCCTGTAATTTCACAGAGCATTTTAAATGCACTTTTAGTACTTCCTCATTAAATATAGTCAAACCTCTGTTTTGGCCGTCACAAAAAGCTCAGCTGAAGTTAACGGCACATTGGTCTGTCACCATGTGGGCACAAACTGCTCATTGGCACAAAACTGATAGAAAAACATACCAACAGCTGTTTGAAGACTGAAAAATAAGTTTTCTGAGTTCATCTACTCTTGAACAAAGATTATTTTCACTATATTGACACTGGATTGAATAACACAACTCCAAGAAAAAGATTTTTCCAGCATTATATGGAAATGCTTTTGCAGCATTTTGCCTTTGCAGGAGGTCACTTACCATACAAGCAGCTTGAACAGCTTCTGAAACGTTGCCTGCATTTGGTTCACACCAAAAAACGTGGCACTCAAAGTGCTGGTTTCCTGTATCCATAATGAAGGCAAACGTGTGAATGTCTTTGCCTACTCCCATGAAGGACAGGAACCGCACGCGACACTCCACCATGACCTCCTCTTCATTCTGGGCACGAACCAAATGATTGATCATTACTATTGCATATTCTGTGGAACTTTCACTTTTGATTAAATGGGAGGACACACTGATACAGCACTAAAATTCTTTCTTCTCTACCTGCATATACCAAGCATGCTCAGGCCTGGGCTGGACCTTCTCTTCTAGGATGCCACCAAGGCTTTGAGTGTTAGCACCGAGCATGTTGTGCATTTTAACAACTGCTTGTTTTGTGAAGAAACAAAACAACATGGCTATAATGACTCCAAAACATGCTCCCCCATCACCAGTATGTTACAGAGATGTTGGTTTAGTACTTCATCAAAGGACATATATAAAAGACTTCTTCCAAAGTTTCACTGTATTAATCTCTTTGGAAAATGCTCTACATTTTCTTTTGTCACACAGATTTTAATATTACTCTTGGCTTACATACCAAGAATGAGGTAAATACAGTTTGGAATTTACAATTGCTTCCTTAGGGCTTAACTTGCAACATTTTAGGCTCAAAATTCCTAGAAAGGACAACACTGAATTTAAGTATCTCATGAATGCTCATAATAATTTAATTCTGAGAACATGCTTGAAATGGTAAAGAAAGTCAAAGCTGGTATGAGCAGTAAGAGCCTCTGCAGATTCTGGAAAGAAATAAAATGCAAAATATGAATTCTAGTGTAAGTTAACCCTACTAGAGTTTCTGTGTTCCTGGTTTTCAACACTCCCACTAGGTCAAATGTGTTTTAAACAAGACAATTTGCCTTACTCTTTCATTGATGACTGTGACAGTAGCATCAGCAACATTCATGGTAACTGGCATCCAGTCATCCTTGCTGGAGGAAGCCATTAGACTTTCAATGGCACTGTTCAGAGTATCCATTCCTAAAAGAGCAGAAAAGGCAATAATGACAAAAAATGTAAACAATAACAAAATTTTTTATCTTCACTTAAGAGTACAGAAATCAGACTGTTTTGGACCCTTTATTAAAATGAATTTGATGATGGAAGAAGCATCATGAAGTTGTATTTCTTCATCTACAAAACCAAACCAGGTGCCTCTGGTGCATAAAAGTAACAGGATAGCATCTTGTTTAGCTGCTGCAAAATCAAACCAGGTGCCTCTGGTGCATAAAAATAACAGGATAGCATCTTGTTTAGCTGCTGCACCGTTTCAGTTCTCTAGGGCCCCTCTCATTAGTAGGAGAGCTCATATTCAGAAAAAGCTGTAGAAAGAAACTCTGCCTTCTTGGCAGCTCTCAAAATACTCTGGTTGCAAAACACACATTCAAATGAGGCTTTGAATATTGTATGTCTTCATGCCTGATTGGTATGACTGAAGCACAAGAGCTGCTACCCCTCAAAACTCATTCATTTACACTTGGCTAGCCAGAGTCCAGCCTTCAGGGTTTGTGCAAGGTACTCTGGAAGTCACTGAAGTATTACATACCAACAGGTTTAGCTACAGGCAGCATGCCCAGGTACTGGACGTGGAACTTCTGCACCAGTTCTGTCTTTGGTGTTGGGAAATCTACTGCATGGGAACAAAAGTCAATTTTGGTTAATCAGCATTCACAGCAGGGAAAACCTCTTTTATTTCATCAATAACATAGTACAGTTTACTCACTAACTGTACTATCAAGGTATTGCATTGATTAATACAAATTTGTACTCCTCCTGACAAGAACAAGCCTCAATAATTTCTAAAGGAATTAGGAATAAATTTGCATCACCTAACTTTGGTCTGCATTAAGAATAAGGTCACGTTACATTGCTGGTGTATTAAAAAACAGAATCTGAGACATACAGACCTAAGTTTCACTGCAATAACTATGTAAAATCAAGAATCTGCTTTTAACACCATCCTTGCTAATGTGTTAAACAGTTTACAAGTAATCAATACTACTGTCTGAGCAGTACACATTACACAGACCATTACACAAGTTGATGTATGGATTACAAGTTAGATACTGAGTACAAACTAGTAGATCCAGAAGCATATAACTCCCTGTAAAGTTAACACAAAATATGTTTGTTCTCCTGGAATACTTTCAAAATAGCAACTACTAAGGTATGACTAATGAAGCCTTGCAAAGGCAGTTTCCATCTACACACAGTAGAGTGCACAAAAGACTCTTCAGCTGGATCCATTTGCACCCCCTAGCCTCAGAAGTTGCTAAAATAGATGCTGAAACCAAGGAGAAGTACTCCTATGGCTCCCTCTGGATCCAAGTACTTAACTGGAGTATATTCTGTTTTTAAGGAAGATTTGGCCAATTGGTGCCATCTCAAGTCAGGAAGTATTTTAATTTGAAAAGGACAACGTGTCCAAGTAGCTACAAATAAATAATACTGCATTTGCATCATTTATACTTCAAAATAAAAGAATGCACAAGCTGACATAACTGAGCAGGAGTCCATTACTGTCAGCATAAGCAGAAACAAGTGTTTAATGTAACACAGGAACAAGTTACAGTCAGTAATTAAAAGACAGGATTACAATCCTGACTGCTCTACCCAACAGGCTCCCCAGAAACAAAACTCCTCTAACATAGGCCCATCCCAAGGACAGTAGCTGTAACACACAGTACCTTGCAGAGGAACTTCAAGGGTGACATTTGTCCTGTCTTGCAATGAGCTGCAAGCCATAGCTTTGGCATTCTTCCTTTCAGCCATAATCTGAAGGTGACAGTGATAATATGGAATTTGAAAAAATATTAGTACACCAGCAACTATAAATTTACTCCTATTACAACCCCAGTTTCTGAAATAAACCAGAAGCTACATGACTAAGCAGGTTATTCTTTTTAAATAACAACTTCAATTTTTCCTCCACTTAATTCACCATTCCTTAACTACAAAAAGAACTTGAGTGGTGTCCAAGCCTAGATGACAGATAGACAGAGGAGGAAAAGAAACCTCTTGCCTTTTCTGTCAACAGCAAAATTGCAGGGAGGAGTAATATAGCAAGAAATATAAATATTTAACACACAGACAAGACTGTTCATTATTCATATTCCTCTCCATTCTGTCTTCTGCTGTGTATAATTGTTTCCTCCATTTTTAAGTCTATTCTGGGTTTAAAAATCCCATGCAAAATACAATCTATTCTTCCCCCAAAATGTATAGTATTAGAAAAAGAGGAAAAAGCAAATCCAACCCACTTCAAAATAACCACTTTGGATGATTATTCCCTACAAGTATGTGACTGAGAAGGGATCCAGGGAAGCTAATATAGGTTTTCCAAAGCTCATGTATGAACCATTGCTATCTGCTTCTTTACACCATAACTGTTAATTGTAATTAAGTTATAAAGATAACTAGTATTCCAGCAGATGTCGCTTGGTCTAAAGATGCTTCTAGCAAATTTATCTCCCCCTTTTTTTAGGCTTCATATTCTGAAAGTATTTTCTGTTACAGGGACACATTCCTGCCCTCCCAATGAAAAACAATACACACTAGCTTAGGAAGAAACCCTGACTTGGCAAAGAGGCCCAGGGTGTCAGCACATGCCAAGTGCTTCTATGAATCAGGATCACATCTATTGCTGAATTAACTGTGTTACTGTTAGCTATGGTTTTAAGTGCTTAGTTGTTCTCTTATCCAAAATTAATGTCAGAAGTTTCATTTCGTGGTTACTTATGTGACAGCTGTATTCCCTTTCTGACATCTCTGTGTAAAGCTACCACAGCATTTACTTGATGTTGACCTTACTGGAGAAAAGCAGCTGTGGTACAGTACACAACTGACTACAGAGGGGAGTTTGGCATCACTGATTCCATTCACTAACACCAAGATAAAATGTAAAATGCAAAATGACAGGTATACAGTACATCAGTAGAGTTTTAAAACCCAAAGGTTTCCTAACTATCTTTTCTAGAAGAGCTGTGACTCATGAGCAGGGACAAGCTACACAGGGATAACTGACAATGTTATTCATCACCACAGCCCATTTTTCTTGTGGTGCAAATTGACATGTTTCAAGGAAAACCAAAATGAGCAGCATAATAATCTCACAAAGGGGGATGCAGCCTCAAATCCACCACAGCTTGACTAAAGAATAGAGTTTCAAGTAGATTGGCTAAACTGCCTCCCTAAAAAGTGGTTTCAGACTGCTGGTTGTAAAGGATGTGGTGCCTTGATATCACTGCATAAAATGACTGTACAGAGGACACTCATGATCATCCAAGAAGACCAAAACTAATAACCAGGGAATAGTGGCAAATCTGTAAGGCAAAATGACTGAAAAAATCAGTCCTCTCCAGCATTATGGACAACACTACCACAAGCAGAACTAAGATCCTTTAGTACTTGTAACTAGAGCAACTCAAACTCTCTCTTCTCCATGATTTTTTTAAAAAAAAAAAATACATTTAGCAACTATTTTCCTGTCTGTCTTGCAGGATAATACCATTGAATAACACCATTCAAACAAGGTCTGATTTATTTACAGAGTTTATTACCGTTTATTATTAACTGAAGCTCTGTGTTCTTTTTCCATTTTGAACCTGTGGCTTCTTTGTTATTCAAGAAAACCTTTGGTCTCCACACACACCTTCCATGTCATCCTCCTCACATCTAAATGTTCACACTCTTAGAATTCCCATCTACTCCCATCCTTTCCTTTACAAATTCTCTACACCATTTCTCATTGCCAGTGATATAAACCAAACTGTGTACAGCTGCTGATGACATGTATAAGGCTCAGGGGCCTCTAAAGGAATGCAGCTGACTTTAATTGCACTTGCCTTTGAGCAGATTTCGTGTAAACTGGTAGCAATGGCTTTTGCCGGTGTGTCACATCGAAACACATGACATTTCAGAATTCTGGTGTCTTTGTCTCTTGCCACATAAGCAAAGTCTCTGTGTAAATGAAATAAACAGATTAGAAACAAGCAATACAAATTATGGCATTAGAATGAATAGTATCTCCATACAGCAGGTCTTGCTTCAGTTTAACTGGTGTATGCCTCAGCTGACAAAGAATGGAACATGTCTTAGACAAGACTGATCTAAAAATGTACTAAACTGCTTAACCATGAAACATATATCTGAAGTTTGGTGCTTAATCTATACAATTGAAGACTTCATTAAGGTTTCCTAATCATGCAGCTTACTGAAGTTACAACCCCTAATTCCAAATGCAATTGTAAATACACACAAAAATTTACTCATATATTTTACTGAAGATGAAATAAGGAGAGAATTACAGATTAAAACAGAAAACCCATGCAGCTAAAAAAATCTAAGAAACGGAGTACAAGACTGTAGTTAGAGAAAAATAGTATTTCAAAGGACGGTATAAAGTGTTTAAAATATGCAGATAGTAATTAGAGATCTGGTTGCATAAGGGAGATGTGAATGTGCTGAGCTTTGCTCACACTAATTGCCCTAAATTTCTGACCTTATTTTTTCAAAAGTTAAATAAAGCTGCCCTACAAGAGATTTTTGCACTGTACTGGCTAGTCACCACAGCACAGTATGGCTTTCTAGCACAGCTGAAGGAACCATTATCCCTTGTCCTGTCACAACAGGCCCTGCTAAGAAGTCTGTCTCCATCTTTCTCATAAGCCTCCTTTAAGTTCTGAAAGGCTGCACTAAGGTCCCCCCAGAGACCTCTTCTCCAGGCTGAATAACCTCAGCTCTCTCAGCTTGTCTTCACAGCAGAGGCACTCCAGTCCTCTGATCATCTTCATGGCCCTCTTCTGGACCCTCTCCCACAGGTCCATGTCTTTCCTATGCTGAGGACTTCAGAGCTGGACACAGCACTCCAGATGAGTCTCAAGAGAGTGGAACAGAGGGGGAAAATCACCTCCCTTGACCTGCTGGCCACGTTTGCTTTGATGCAGCCTAGGACACAGTTGGCTTTGTGAACTGTGAACACACATTGCCAGCTCATGTCCAACCTCTCATCCACCTTGGCAGGGCTGCTGTCAATCCTTCATCCCCCAGAGTCTGTATTGATACTGGAGGCTCTTGTTGAAGAAATGTTGATGTCCCTACTGTTTGCAGTGAAGTCTCCAGGGTGTGGCCTGGAAAGCCCATGAAGCTGTGAGAAATGTCTCATCTTTGTGTCCTGTGGAATTTCACTCACTGTGAAGTCACCTTGTACAAGTGCCAGAAATGCCATTTCCTGCCCATGGGGATGTTGGTGGGTGCTGAGAAGGAGCTGCCAGGAGCATCTGGCCCAGGCCTCAGCTCCACAAGCACTGCCTCAGTACTGCAGCACTGCACATAACGCTGCTTTTGAGCCTCTGGCACTTGGTCCTGCTGCTTCTGTAAATATTTCTGCTTGTAATGGTATGCAATCATAAACAAGGCTGCGGAGCACATTTACAAAACAAAATGAAAACACCAACCAGTACATCAGTTTCAAGTACTAAGAGTTAATAAAACCCCCATGATGGTGTTTCAAACTCACATAGCAGTGTTTTTATGTACCTGAACAGCTTGAACACAGTAAATCAGCTAACCACATTCAGAGATTATGAACATACATAAACCTTTAGATGATCAGGACTTGTACATCTACTGAGACAGAGTATGAAATGTGACTTCTTCAGAACCCGTGGCACTGCATCACGCACAACCCTGCAGGCACCATCTGCTTTCAAATCATCAATCAAAATCAGCACACAAAGGATCCTTCCCCCTTCTGACAGTGCACAAACAGTACTACTGATTTCACTAATTCATGGAAGTCAACTAGATGCCTGTGCCCTCGCATGAGTGCCCTACATGGCAGCTGAGACCTGGAGATGGAGGTCCAGGCTGGTGGCAGTTGCTTCCCCCACTGCCAGCAGGAGCCTTGCAGCCTTGCTTTGGGCATTTCTAGGCATTGAGAAGACTCAGCTCCAAGTTTGCTCTCGGAAAAGAAAGGTATGTCTTCTGGGACTTCAGAGTACCTGCTTCCTGCAGCAACAACAAAGTAAAACTTGAGAAAAGCTT